CCATGAAGAATGTATACAATTGCGAAAGAAAAAAGGAAGCCAATGGTATTTTGGCAATATCAGTGCAATATTGAGACAAATTGGGGACATCCCATTGTGTGCCTACCTTCCATTTTCTGATAGCAACGTGATCTATTGCCCCACCTACTTTGATGGAGGTAAGTATGGCAAAGATCGACCTCATTTCAACGAGCACTTAGCAAACCTAAGTTTTTGTGTTTATGAGAAGCATGGCCTCCCAACTCTAGTCTCATCACACATCCATTAATTTTACCAAACTCCTAGCTACTTTTCCTCAACCATCGGAGGAAAGTTGGATTTGTGCTTGAAACCTTAGTGAATAAAGTGCTGCAAAGTCCAAAAGAAGGTACTGTTGTTACATCGATTGATCTCGATAGACGTGTAGTGAGAAATGGAACTTCAAATAAGTAACAAAACGGGGGCTGTGATGAGTCCCTTCGGATAAGTAAACAGAAGCGATAGCGACAAATCATGGGGCTAATTTGAAGATGCCCACTGCAAGCCTTCCTTACACCCTGGGATATTGAGACTTGTTCCAACTCAAAGAGGATTAACCCGCGTTAACTCAAAGGTACCTGACTGACCACCAGATTGCTGCGTGGCTGCTTGAAGCTGTGTAACTGCTAAAGGAAGAAAATGCTCGCGGACCTCATTATACAGTTTCGAGTGCCTTAATAAGTAGCATTTTGAAGTCTATATTTGACTGGATTCATGAGTGTCTAGTATTTTGTATCACCACCACCACCACCACCACTTAAGTGCCCTGACTTGATCAAGCTTCTTGAAGACGTCATTTTTCATAAAAGACCACTTATCACAAAGTAACTATGTTCATTTTGTAAAGATGCATCACTTTTTACTTATTTATAAATCTTCTTGATATATGAAGTACTGAGAATGCGATTTCGTTCAATTCCTCAGGTGTCACTATCTCGCAGACAATGGGAAGTCCTGTTCTTCTCTCTAACTCAGTTGTGCAGTTTTAAAGAAAAAAATACCTCGACCTTTACAAGGTATTTTGGTAACCAACGATTAATGCCCTGCTGTCAACGAGCTTGTCAAGCGGAAGCACTCCAGCAAATCGGTCTCTGCTTCTGACGGTAAGACCAATTAAGTAAATTGGCACCGCTATTGAAAAATTCCGCATTATGACCGTCCGTCATCTGGTGGAGCGTCTTATGTTCGTACCGTCAATGGGATTCGGAATTCCCTTTTTTTCATCGTACCACTTATTGGTACACAAACACTTTGATTTATTAACACGATCAAGATGCCTTTGACTCCTGAAGAGAAAATTCAGTAGTGACGGTTGGTTCCAAAGTTATTCCCGAAAAACAGGTTATACATAAAAATTTAAAAACAAGTCATGCTCTGAACCCTAGAGTTGTGAAAGTAAAGTAAAAGTGAAATAAATGCACACTGTTCATGAAGTGGGTTATCAGGAAATGAGTATTTTAACATCCTAATATGACATTACCTTATGGGAAGCTTCATAGTACTTTCTCTGGCTCAGGGCACTTGTTCGCAGTGTGCAGCAGATCGGTCTTACAACCGTTTGCTCTTCAGCAAGCCAGCAAGTCACTACGAACAGTCCACTGCATCGCGTACATTTTACGAGGATGAAGTGATGCGTGGCCTAGAAGTGTGGTCCAGTCAATGAGCTGTTGGGCGGATAGCCAATGATGTGCCCCTTCGTCTGACATTGCAATAAAAAAAAATAATTCCTCATCACGATTCAGCCAGTTAAATGTCGTATAAAGGCACATCTTCAAAAGGCAAAGTGAAGAAGACAAGATATCAGTCCTGTTGAGCGCTGTGATATCCATTGTCGCGCTTCTGACCATAGCTTGCCCAATTGAAGCTAATTTTAACTAACTATTAGATTTTAGCAGCGATTGAAAGTTATCTTCATGATCTTCCTCTAAGTGAAGCCTTCCTGTTTTAATGAATCACAACACTAATCAAATCTCTCAATTTCTATTGAGATCGTAGGTTCTGCCGCATTCATTCCATTGAATGCTTGCTATCATATTAGCTGTGCAGCCTCAAATCATGATTCTAACCAGACACACTTAAAGAAGCTCCACAAGAGTGAGTCACCATGATGCCTTAAGAGTTTGAAATGAGATGGAATCGAAGGTCGTAAAGGCCAGGGCAAAGATTGTCGATGGACTGACACTTTGTAGCAGCACCATCTTACACACCTCTGGAAAATGCGCCAAGCTGTACTGAAAACCTTTTTTACCACAAAACATGAGGGCACAAGCACCAATTCACTTTATCAATTATGACAATGAGAGTGAGCTGTGGTTGATTTTGGCAATCCACTGATGAGGGGAACCACTGACACTCCCACAGCAATGGTACGTGCTTGCGCTTTCTTGTAAGTGCAAATGATAAGGGGTGGATGTGTTACTTGGGTAAGAGATAATCAATTAACAAGATATTTCATGAGCGATACTTATTGTTGTCAGTTAAGTCACAAAACATGAAACTGATGCTTAAACGAGGTTTGAGATAAGAGCACAGTTATGTGGGACTTTCTGAAATGGCACTTCAATTGTATTCGCATTACTCACATTGTTAGCTAAGGTTAGTTGAGCCAAAAATTAGACTCCATTTCAAGCCACAAGCCAAGATGAGACCAAATCTAAAGTAATAGATGGCTGAAGCTGGAACTGTAATTAAATTCACGTCTAGACGTAGGTATGAGGAAGGGAGGGACATTTAAGCGATAAAATACTGTCGCAACCTGTGGTAGATAGGACCATTCTTTAGTCAAATTAAACGGCCTTGAGGAAGAACTGCTCAACCCTAGATGTGCAGAGAAGCACAATAGATGAGGCTGAATTAGCACTGCACTTAAAGCTACTGTCGGCATCGGCTTATCCAGAAATAACCCTTAGTCCTCCTTAGACGTGCAATAGGTACTTCAAGACAGGTCACCCCGCTACTGTTGATGCGTTTAGATTTTCTAACTAAAAATGGTAATGTTGTGTGTGTGTGTGTGTGTGGTACGCTGTCTTGGGGCGTTTACATGAGGCCATATGAAGGGGAGCAGGTGCAAAATTATCTTAGCTCATGGTGAGGGAAAAGTGCTTTCTGAAGGGATGGCAAGGTACCAAGCTGGCATAAAATTCGCAATTGAGGATGCATAATTGCCTCGCAGAATGCTGAACTCTCATTGGAAACGAACTAGAACTTCTCTCGTTCACCCGACCCTTAATGTAGTCACAATTGCCTTGGTCAATAAAATTCATTCAAACCATTTCGTACAACTTCACTGCCCAGTCTAACTGATTCCGAATCAAACACAAGTACTTCCATGTGCTTTCGTCCATAAAAACTGGATCAAATCAAGCACTATTTGAACAGACCTTCCTTTTGTGGACGAAGAGCTCACTGACGGGAGGAAACTGAAGAACGAGTGATGTTGTCCAGACCCAACTTAATACACTCAGTAGAGGTTGGTATGCTTTGTCGCCATTTTCAGGCTTAAGAACAGTGACAGTATTGACACTACAAAGTTCCGAGTGCGAGACTCCTCACACTTTTCTCCGTACTCAACTACTCAGGCGTGGCTCAACATTCTTTAGCTTGTATTACATTAGGCTAAAAGTTTGGAAACCATGTTAAACCCACCTGCTGATAATGTTTTTGGGACTATTTTAGAGGACTGCTATAAAATACAAAAGAAATGACCTCCATATTGTTTCAGTAAACTAAACACGGAGATCTATCCAGCACGATCTGATGTCTAACCATCCGCAGTGAGACCCATTTTACGAGGTTGCATGCGAAATGACTGCACATGTCGGCGCAGTCCGATAAGTGCTGAAATCACAAACCCAACCCCTACAACGACACCCATACTCTATTCAAAGAAGTAACACTTATAGTTCGTCTGAGCTCGCTTATCAGTCTCGAGCCGTAGCCACCACCAGCGACCCAAACAGCGAGCTCGCCGCAAAACCTCACTCGTGCGCATTATGCTTGACCAGTGTTACCTTTTAATCGCTCATCAAAATTTCCGCATCCGTACCACTCTCCACAGGATTCCAAATTCGCCTCACTCTAAGCAGGAGCTGTACCTCAGTGACGACATCGACCATCCCCTTAGGACGGCAACTAAAAATTGCGACGCATTAAGCGAAAAACCGACCAAACGAAGCTCCCATTTCCTCGAGACCATAAAATGCATCCACACAAGCAAGTCACCACAACTACACCTAGCAATACAATAACCTGCGCGACTGTAGAGGCTTGCAACCGGATTAACATAAAGTCGTCCCACTTCGCCTGGAAAGACATTAGTAATTAAATAACAGTAGGCAAAATGAAGTTTGCATTGGTGGCGACTGGGCCCGCCAATGAGGCAACAAGGACCCGATCCATCAAAAACAGCCCTGACCGCAATCCACCCAACGTAAGAATTCTCTAGCCCTGGGAGTGAAAGTAGAGTCGACTCACGCGGACGCACATGACAGCACCACCAGCAGAATGCGTACACAGACGACCCACCCGAAAATTGAGAAAGAACCGCGACAATGCGAACGAGGCGAATCAAAGGCGCTAGTACCCACAGACCCCAACACGAACCGAATTCTACGAAGGCTATTCATCACAGTTATGTAGAGCCACCACAGGAACTGAAATTACTAAGTCGACAAGGAACGTCTTATGATTCACCTAAAAAGCCGATTCCGAGAAGTACTCAGCTTCGCCAAGCACCTAACATTCAGGTAAAATACAAAATCAAATAACGACCGCAAAGCGACAGTACACCAAAGACCTACTTAAATGCGACAAGCATCAGCGCGCCAAAATTGTATCGCTACCTGTCTCCCATAAGTTGTAGGAGAATAACATCAATTGCGACTTCAATTTGATAGTAATCCCGCCCACACCCAAATCATGCAAGCAACACCCTAAAATTCAAAATACCACGAGAAGTTTACTGAGAAAGTCAACAGTACTACTCAAAACTTCAGCTTGGTTCTCCTCCAGTGACGCCTTTTAGCGTTGTATCTGCACACAATATGAGACAAGCAGATCAAAAAACTCACCGAATGCGGTTACCTGTACGCGCACGAGCCCAGTAAGGCAACGTTCGATTCTGTCTTTGTTTTTTGCCTAGCTTCGTCTTAAGCCTGAGAGTTTTGTGAGCGCCCTAAAAGATCAGCCAGACAAGAACACCCACCATCACGCACCAGAATGCCTCCGCTATCTGCTGACTGTGCGCAAACCAGTACATATAAACGAGCATTCATCAATGGTAAAATCGATAATGTAAAAATCCAGATAAATAAAGTTTCGCTATAATATTCTACTTTTGGCGAATTGTCATGTTGGTCGTGGAAAGTTTGTAACCACGGTGGGCACAACTCACATAGACCATCAAGTCAAATAAGTATTGCAAACTTTAATTGATAATAAGGTATGTCTTACTGTAAAATAGGTGCACAGCAGTTGTAAGGCCTCCTTTATTTGACCCATTAGTGTATGCGCTTGCTACACCTTGTTCTCCTGATTCGCAGTCAGGCTATCGTGTCGCAATATCCCCTGCTACATCTGTGTATGGGTATCAAATCTCCTTGTACATGGTATGCGTCTAATCCATTTGTCTGTAAAACAACCGTTTTAGATCAGAGTTCCAACATCAAGTCCTGGAAGCAATTAATGGTCATCATAGGCTTAAGAACCGATTATGGATGTTAAACCGAATATAATTGCAGAGCCCATTAAAGGAGCTGAGGACACCAAGTACTGTCTCTTATTCTCACAGTAGCTACTGAGCAACGCAGTTGGCCCGTTGTTGCTTTCTTGCAATACCGAATATGTTGGGATGGCTGGCAACGGAGGTGTTTCAAAGGGACTGTCAAAACGCCACTCAAAAGACAAGAGGTGCAGTGCATTCTTTTGTGACGGCTTGATGTCTGGCGGTTCCTTTTTGTAATCTTCGGCCAATCTTTGGGTTATCCTCGGAACCAACCCATTTTATCTCTTTGGAATAAACGCATTCAGCCCGACCCAATGCCTTAGACGTCATTTATGAACCTTAGGCCATGCTGATTGATCTTTTTATCTAAGGAAATGGGTAATTATAGCCTTCTACTTTCGGATTTTGTTAATATATACTCGATTGTAAAATGTATATCTCGGAAGATTTTAGAGTTATTTTCTGTTTTATTTTAAAGAAAGTAGTTTTCGATGCATTATTTTGCTAATATATTGGAACACATACGATTTCTTTATTTCAGTCGTGGCTACCATCTGTCTTTGCGATTACGTACATGAGTGGCGGCTTATTGAAGCAATGTTGCGTCTCGCGGTTGCGGTTTTGTCATTTCTGTTCTGCACTTCATTTGGATACTTTGTGACTATAGACGCTAATGCAGAGCAGTGCTTCTTTGATAGGGCCTTACCTGGTGATAGGCTTACCCTCTTCTTCGAAGTTTCCGAGGGTGGATTCTACGACATTAATGTCAAGGTACGTCGCCACTTGCTCAGAAATCTTCCATTGGGATGTAGTTGACCGCACCAGATGGATCTACTTTGTACCAAATCGAGAAGGAATCCAGTGGTCATTACTCCTTTACTGCCAACGCCGAAGGGAAATACACCTACTGTTTTAATAATAAAATGAGCACTGTTACACCAAAGACTGTGCTTTTTGCACTTGAAAAGGGCAGTCAAAAAATAGGAAAGGAGGAGGGCATAGCGCGTAAGCTGTAAATTGTACTATCTCTTCCTTTTCTAGCTGAACAAGGCAAACTTATTGATATGGTGAATGAACTCTCGAATGCTGTTCTCAATGCCAAGCATGAGATGGAGTATTTGGAGGTTCGTGAAAATCTTCATCGTGCAAGTAGGCTTGCGGAACAGTGTTTTGCATTATTTAGTTAATGAGAACACAAACTCGCGTGTTGTGATGTGGGCTGCCTTTGAGGCTGTCATAATTGTTGGAATGAGCTTGGGTCAAGTCTACTATCTAAAGCGATTCTTTGAGGTTCGTCGTATGGTATAGTTTTGCCCTGAGGAGATATCATTTGTGTGAATCCGCTGACTCGTTTGTAAAAATCTCACTGCCTTCCTCCACGAACTTTTTATGTGAATTGCCTCATTTTTAATGTCACGGATCTTGTCTTTACAAAGAATGTTGGTTCCGTTGGCTGTGGCTAAGTTTTGTTCCTGCGATGTTGTCGAGCTCAGTAATCGGTTTCGGCGGTTGTTTGAGTGTTTTTTTTTAGGACGGAGGAGAGGTCATTCGCATTATCTCGAAGTTACTCTTATTATTCCCAGTTCGCTTCAGAGGAATTTTATGTGCTTTGAGGAACACATTTTGGTGAAGCGGGGCAACTTATAGGTCTTATTTTGAATTCCAAGTGTACTTTGTTGAGGTGTTTGATATGGTTGATTGGATGCTATGGTAATGCACGTAGTCGAGCTGCAACGTAGGTGTTTGGGAACTGCTACTTTCGATTATCCAAAAATCCTTGTATTATGTTATTGCTGATGATGCTGGGGTCTTGGTAACCTTTACGAGCTACTCGAAGACGTACTAATCGTGGTTTTTAAAATGGCGCTTCTTTTTAAGGACCCTGACTCTAGAGGCTGTTATTTTCCGCATAGTTTCTTTGTCGTGATAGTGAGTGAAGTGATATTTTCATGTATGTGTTCTGCGATCATGTGGGTCACAACCAGTGAAAATTCCATTAGCCATTAGTCATATGATATTTTACTATGTAGGTAATGGTGAGATCACTTCTTTGCTACACAGTCTTCAGTGGTTTTTATTTATAGACGCTACTATTCGTAGTGCTTTACTCATAAAACATTGAATTGAAGTAACTGCGATCTAATGCACAACACTGGCTGATGTCAGAGGTGACGTTTTCCGTGGAGTGAATTTGGTTATCGCTTAACTCGGTAGTAGATGGTGTTCTATCTATTAGTGTCACTCACCTGGGCTCTTTTATGCATTCGTTTACTCAAAGACCTGGCTCCACGTCTGGATGTTTTCGGTTGGGCAATGGTAGTGACAATAAAGGATCAAAACAAGTTTCCGTGTGGCAAGTTAGAGTTTGCATGAATTTCCGCGGCAATAACTATTCTATTTTGATATTGGGGCAGAATAAGCAGAGTCATGCATGGTAATGAGTCGGTTGAGGCATCATTACGGGTATATAAGCTCCCTCATCATTTCGTTTACGATGGTAAGTTAATAGTGCGTGCACATTTAATAGCATATGCTCCGATGTTGGACATTCGAGGACTAATTGTATGAGCGCTTCGTGGGTGATCTGCAGTATTGGTTCTAATTGCTGCTCTTCTTTCACGCTATTTCATGAATAGAAGTTGATTGAGGTCGCTATGTAATTTGTCATTAGCCTAAAGGTAACAGACAAGTCATTCCTGTCAGCTGCACAAGGTTAAAATCATCAATTCTTGTATTATGCTTCACGGTTGGCGTCGCTTTGCCTTACAAGCGAGTTTTATCATTATTCATCTTCACTTTAGTTTTTCCATCTTGTTGGGTTCTGCAGTTCCTCAACCTGTGCAAATGATTTCGATGTCTAGTGCCCTAACAGCCAGTTCCGATCTCACTTCATACTCGTTATTAACATTGCTATAGCGCTAAAGAAGGTGGTTCTCCGGGAATTTGAATGTCAGGAATCGACTATATTGGAGCGTTTAGGAATAGTGGGTTGAGTGATTAGGTAGATCTTCTGGTAGCACTGGAGTGCAACAGATGAATCAACTTGTGCACATTGAATAAAGTATGCAAAGTTGAACCACAGGCAATTTTAAAATGCACAGCATCCCTTGGAGTGGGTGATATCGTGGCTCCAGAGTTGACCTACCATCTGGCTTGCAAATGGCATGCTCTCTTTCGTCTTGAATTGCTCAAAGCTAGAGGACATCTATTAACAGATCTGCAAATTGTCCCATTCGCTTTGTCACCACCTCAATAGGTCTGTTTACACTGTTACCACATCCTCACAGGACGTTGGTGACAAATGGCAAATGATAAGAAGTACGTAAATTTGTCAGACTTTACAAGTCGGCAAATCTACCATCAAAACATCAACTGGTAGCGTGCTTTCACCGCCACCAGGTCAGGACAGAATATGGATGTCTTTAGAGCGCCTTGCTTGCAAACAAATTTCAGTATCAAAAAATGGCAACTCATACAATAAGCCCTGCTGACCTCTCAGCAGGCTGAGGAATGCGTCACCAAATAATCGGATAAAGCGAGGTATTCCCTACATTATTCTTGCTAATAGTCACAAAACTGAGATCAGGTCGCAGATTTTCTTATTGTGGGGGGAGGGGGGGGACTCTGTGGACTTGATTTTATAGCCACCGAACTGTGTCGAAATACTATCAACTTTGTGCTTTAGCCTGCAGCGAATCTCAAGCCCAATATCCCATTCACATTTTCTCTGTTCCATACAGCTTGACTTTGAAGATAGAAGGTAGGTCTTTGAATACCACGAAGATAACGTAAAGGCTACATCTCGTTGTTGAGAGCACTTAACTACGGCAATACGAAAGGCCCAGTGAAGATAAACCTACGAGATGTGGTTGACAACATGGACTTGATATAGCCTTCAATAAAGCACCAAGTAATCAAAATTGAGTGCTCTGCGCGTGAACATCTGCAAAATCCTATTTTTGAAGCAATTCAAACTCACAATAACAGATGTGATGGGACTTACAGCAATTAATGATGTAATCAACCTCTTCAGCGTCATCATCTCTACTACTGCCTTCTTGTCAGTCTAGATCTTTGGCTATATGGCCGATGGAGGGTATCAATGTCGTATCCAAAATGCCTTTCCTCCATTTGAACGATATCCATCAATTTTTGGTGTTTGCATTTGATCCTCTTAGTAATACATCAACTGTCACTTATACTTGCGGTACATATCTTAGAGCAGTACCCGTGCAGAGTATTCGCCGCCTTTCTGGCATCTACATTTGAAGCTAGGACTAGACCAGATACTCAAATGTGCATATATTAGTACTACATTAAATCCATCCACCTTATTAACATCCTTTTAACATTTTGTGGCGCATTACACATTAGTGGGCAAGGTATTGATAGAGTATTTACAAGGAGAATGGAATTTGGTTGGAATATCGTCATTTGGGTGCGTGGTTGCCTTCATACCTTTGAAAAAAATCAGAGACTAATAGTACAATAGGTGAGCATTCCACTCTGCAAGATGTGTGGCAGTAAATTGCAACATGTCCGTTGTCTCTGCAATACAATGTTTCGCCTACGTAAATTTATCACGATACGGGAGAGGGCTTATGGAGGAGGCAAGCGAGCTCTATCAAAAAGCTGCGTGCTCTAAGTTCTGTGTATATTTAGCTGGCACAAATGTAACCCTCGAACGATGAGGAAGATTTCATTGTGAAGGCATTCATGGTGCCCGCATAAAAGTCTCCATCACACAACTTGAGGTGCCTCCTCCTTGCCCTCCTTTCTCCACCCAAACAGATGATTGGACAATATTGAAGTGGGAGCAGAGTAACGGAGAGGAAGACAGTGAAATCTAACCGCACCGAAGGTATTCACAAAATTTTCTACCTTTAATTGGTTTTGGTCTGTCTATCGAATGAGATCTGAGTTACTTTTCAACGCTTGAGTAGCGGCTCAACAGATCCATAGGTGGCATCGTTATTCCATTGATTCGAGTATAGAGCTCTTTTCCCTCTTGCAAGACGAATCAATGATGATACAATCGTCATGGTTCTTTGTTTACTTTTAAATGTCAGAAAACGGACTTCATTGTGAATCAAATCGCATTTTCAGGGTTTCATCCTAGTGGGTGAGAGGAAGACCATGAGATCGCCAAACTTTCACCATAGAGTCCACTAGATGGTCCGTCATTGCGTCCGTGTGGAAGGGGGACGGAGCAAGGCGTAGGCGTTCAGTACCTTTGGCCACCGTAGGATAGTTTATGGCCTGTAGGTAGATTTGATGATTGCGTAGCAGCCCCTCAGAGATACTGGTACACATCTTGGCATCACCTACCTGAAAAGTTTTTTGAACGCCATATATGGATTGCCTCCGTGACTATAGTAACCTTAAAGTCTGAGAAGCATTTCAGATCATGTCTTGAAGAATCAAAGTGTACAGACCATTTTTTAGGGCAGTGCTATTGAAGTCCTCTTTCCATTTAAGAGCCAATTCTCTTCGCAATTATCAGGGAGTCTTCGATTCTTACTACTGCCCCTCTGTCACTTGCAAATAAAAGATCTGTTTACCAGGATGGTATCATGACAAGAGCTACAGGCACTGTGTTTGTACGTGGTACCCACATGAGACTTCCACAATCGATTTACAAGGAAAAGCTTCGACCACATTACAGTGAATGTAAAGGTTGAAAGCGGTAAAAAATATTATCCCTTGGGACCACAAAATGCACTCAAATTGAGCATCTTCGTGTTTTCTAACGTTGCGACAATGTAAACGCTAATGTTTAAAAGAGGATAGCCACCGCATACCATTCGAAACCTGGTATTTAAGGAATCCCGTTCAATAGAAAGAAGCGAGATGCGAAGAACCGCTGCATTAGTGACGAAAGCAGCCCCACCGCAGTACTAGCAAAAACGAACCCCTTAGAAGCCACAAACGTGGTTATAATCTTGTTTACACAAGGAAAGAGACAAAATATATTACAAAATGGACTCTGGTGCCGAATTGAAACATGAGAGTATTCTTGCTTCAGAATCCATGACCCACTACTGATGAGACACTTATCGGGCAATGGCCCTCAAAGCAGTAAAAATTCAATTACAATTCTACTAATACCAATACGAACGAAATTGAAAATGAGAAGAGAGTAAGCCTTAACTAACTGGCTTGAGGAATGGGTAGTGGATTACCTTCGAGTCGAGCGATCTAGTAAAGGTATACTTTAATTGAAGCCTACAAATCGACAACGCACCAAATACAGAAACCGAATTAATTACGAATGTAGTTGCACAACTGTGAGGCAAAATACTTCACCTATTGGTAAGAGTATCAAATGGATTGCAATCATACTCTCTCATGATGTGCCTAAACATGAGGCAGGTACTAGATGGGGAAAAAAACAATCTCCAATACCAAGTAACGCAAGGATCTTCCAAGAAATGAGTTGCTTCCTTGTATTTACTTTACTAGTAGGGATAGTAATATCACGAAACTTGGTCACAATAGCTTACGGCAATGGGAATGATGTGTGATGACACGTAAGCCACAGGCAAACCCGCCTCCTTCAGCCGACTTCGCACAAGATTCACGCGACGCCGATGCTCTGCGCGCAAGTCCCGACCTTCAGTAGATTTGAGGATGGCCAAGCTGGCTCTTGCTGCTGCCACTACTGGTGGCGGCAATGAGGTTGTGAATATCAGCCCACCTGCGTAGCACCGCACTGCGTCGACCAGCGCCCTATCCCCCACCAGATAGCCGCCGATGCTAGCAATAGCCTATGACGAAGATAACAGAAATAATCGTAGGTAGTAAATCAACCCTATACAGTCATTTTCATCCATTTTGACAAGTCTATATAATGGTTAAAATTTGAGAAAAATACCAGTTTCCTCAACTCTTAAAACATTCTCCAAATTCATCTACCCATAAAACAGATGGCGGAACGATTGTCTTTCTACCTAGGAGCCTATTTTGCTGGAGAAAAAGACCCAAAACTTTATAGAGCTTGTTGGGAAGCTTATTGGTTCAAAACTTGCATCCACTTTAAAGTACTATCAAACAAATAATCCCAGAGCCAATGTATTGATGGATCGACACGATTTCAGCGCCTTATGATTTGCATTTGACAGTCTTATGACCGGAAAACATATCGTCTTCTCTGTGGCCTCGGAGGCCTAGTCAACTTAGGCTCCGTTTTAAGCCACCTTTGCCTCGATCACTAATCATGGGTCACTAAAGAATCTAGCATATGACTAGCTTTTACGTAAATAGCCTTCATATTACACAATCATTGAAATTCGGCATTCAAGCTAGGGTTTTTCGTCTACGCTACAGACTTAGATTAACAATGAGACAGGTATTAAAGAGGCGCCGAAGGTCATGAATGCTGCAAAGAACCTCTCGCTCCGTGTAACTACTTTGGTGTGACAACACAAGCAGTTAATAATGCTCAATCGCCCCACGGTGTTATGGTCATAAAGGATTCATTCAAATTTAATACCTTGCCCAAAGTACCAGTGATGGCGCCGATACGATGCATACAACCAAGCTCCTCCGCGACTCCACCTCCATGATCGCCGTAGAGGCCCACAGCATGGACCTCATCCACAAAAGAAAGGGCGTTGTGCGCCTCACAAACGTCGAGGAATTCTCTCAGTGGAACTATGGTACCTTTAAGCCATTTAAAAACACATTTCATCCCTAGACAATCCACAGTTAGTCCTTATCTGTACCCTAGGGACATAGAATACGTATAAAGTATATGCGTATATACTGTGTACTGTATAAACGCATACAAAACTGTCCGGCATACTTCAACCGTTGGTGGCACGCATACTGGTTCATTTCACAGACCTCTCCACATATTTTCTTGTCCAAACATAACTTCAGCCAACAGACACCTCGGAAGAGAGCTACTTGGATACAATTCCGACCGAGTCGCAGAGACTTGTTGTCCAACATCATAGCTACCTAGACTAATGAATTTGACACCTGGATAAAATTTGCTGATATTCCATTTGCATTTATTCGAAAAAAGAACAAACTGACCAGTTCACTCCTTTGTGGATCTTGCGGTTTAGCAAACCAATTAGCCTGACTTTCTCCAGTAACATTTAATAAGGTTTGTAATTTTTGAAAATCTTCCGTTAGCATCCGAGACATAATAACGCTTCAATTTCATTTCATTTTTAAACAGCAAAGCTAGGACCAATTCAGCTTCATCCATACCTTGGGCTGGGCAAACGATGAAGAAGTCGCAGGCTGATGAAGATCTATAGTCGTGCGTAACCCTTCCTATTTTTGTTAAATATCACCCATTAAGTCTTATCAGGCAAATGTCGCCTTGAAATCAGCACATATTCACCTACGCGACTGTTTATGATAATAATGTCGCAGTACCCTTGATCACTGCCTTGCGTCCTCTTCACGCACACTTCACGATATTTATATGGAGGAATTTCGTCACCCCGTAAGCTTCGCCTACGCACAACCAAAGAAGCCTGCGTAAACAGATTGTGTGATTCTGACAAAAAAATGGCACCACTCTACAGAACTGGGCTTATTGGCTTAACTGTATTGGAATTCAGGCACCGTCTTAAACGACAACAATAGACGCCATCAAATTTGTCACCACCCACGATAAAATAGCCATAAAACTGAGAAAATCACACCACCATAGCACCCAGGTTATGGGGAAAGCGACAGCACCTACCATTCATTGAATGCACAGTCTCACAAACTGCTAACTTGGGCTCGATCTGTGTTGAATGCTGCTGCATTAATTCATCCAGTTGACCAACATCATTCTCACCATAGATGTACTTGGGCGCCCGACTAGTGCGTATGCCGTGGATGAGGGAGGCGTGATTGCCGGCATCGGAGAAAAACTTGACGCCAGGCATCAACGTACCCAGTGTGTAGAGAGCAGCCTCGTTGGCAACAAAACAGCTGGTGAAGACCAGACCTGCCTCCTTACCATGAAGGTCGGCCAGTTCATGCTCCAATGCTTCGTGCAGCAGAGTGTTGCCGGAGATGTTACGGGTTCCTCCAGACCCTATTCCAAACCTGTTTATCGCGTTCCTTGATGCCAATGAAAACACCTGCTTAGACTCATTGATTAAGGTGCTTTTCAGGAATATCATCGCCAGCCCCAACAACTTACGATTCCTTAAACTTGGATGTAAATGATAAGTGATAAGTAACCTACTAAATACAATCAGGTGCACAAAGCAAAATTACGTTTTCTTCCACATTTCGTTGCACTAGTCCCTTTAGCCTCCTTCAACTTGATCAATGTGAGACTGTCTGGAAAATGTTCATAAGCCACCTTCACAACCGTGTTCATGTAACTTTTGGACCTTGATAATCAGCTTGCTTCCAGTGTATTACGTACAATACACCAAACATTACAGCATATTACAAAAGCATCTGTTGCGAACAGCTGGATATCAATAGCATATGACAAACGACAAAGTGAACCACTTATATGATGTATTAATTCTGAAAGTCGTCTAGGACGAAAGGGAAATAACCTCATGGGTTATACTAGAAAATAAGAAAATACCCTAAAAACAGAAGTGTCAAAAGGTTACTATATGAACTTTGCCTTCTGTGACAACCGAAGGCAAAAAATGCAATTCGCAAGGATGACGCTGTAATTAAGCACACTAAATGGAGATTGCAAATGCAATGCTGTTACAACTAAGCCTACTGCTCTTCAGTAAACTAAAAGTCGACTTTTCTTCAATGATCTGCCCAACAACTTCCATTAGGGTAGCCGCATAGCCAGTTAATGGGCTCCAATATATTACAAAACGATGCAGTATAATTTAGCATACCAAATTTCAAGGTCCGTTGCATGAGCACATTTAACAACTAGTTACCTAGCGCTCTCCAGAACCATGGGATGTCTGCTCATACCAAGGTAGTCATTTGAGCACCACACGTTGATGGTTTGACACTTTCCAGTTGAGAAGTCATCCGCAAAGGGATATCGTTTAGTGTCTCGGAGAATTTGTCGGAATACACGATAAGTTGCATTAGCTTGCTGCTTCTCCACTTGCTCTTGGAAAAATGTCGAATAATCGAATGAGGTCGTTTGCCTTGCTCCTCGCAACTGAGTATAAGTACTTCTTAGAGGTGAACAAATGGACCGCGTAGACTTGCAGGAATAGAGGGCACACGTCGTTGGGACAAGCGCGTCTATCGGTTATGCATATTAACACTTTTACTTTTATAAAAGAGTTTTCATCCATTTTCTATAGCCATATCAACAGAAACATGATTTCACAAAAGGAAGAGAGATTGGGATGATAATTAGGGCACAAAGTCAGTGTACAAGTAAAGCGGATTTAAATGGCTGATTGTATAAGCCAATGCTATGGTACAGAAGCAATACTTGTAAAAATAAAACACCCAGAAGTCAAGAAATTTATCGAGATGATTAATAATGAAAGATATAACTACGCCAAAGATCAAAATGTGTCAAGCTGAATATTTGATTCGCGGCCAAATATAAAGGGGAGGATGGCATTAATTTGAGAGGTGGGCCAACTTTTACAAAGGCATAGGGATAGATATAACTCCACAACTTTCATAACTGAGTTATTATGGCAATGATTCAGCGTAGGATGGGAGTTACCATAGTTCTTTCCTTCCATTGGGAATTTCTGATTATCACCTTCCACTGAATAGGGGCATTGACCAAGGACGCACTTTTCCAGGCTACCTATAGTAAAACTGTGCAGATGCATAATCAAGCCAAACATCCGCAATTATTTATGCTAATGAATTTCAAGAAAGCTGAAAGTATATTCTGCAGATGAAATAACGCAGAGGGCAACAAAAGCACCCACTATGTGTAAAAGCCAGATTTAAATAAACGATAAACTGTTTAATTAACCGCAAACGGGTGGAAACGGGAGCTGGTTGCTGACAGCAGCAGTATGCTTCAGTTCACGCGATTGAGAACTAAGCATAGTCGAGAAAACAAAGCCAGCGGCTGGAATCACGTTTAAAGAATCACCAAAAGTTTTCCAACGCTTTAGAAGGATAATAAAGGCCGAACTCTTCCATCCAACACTTATATACATCTAAAATATGGTATCAGCACACTGTTAATCAATTTCAAGGTATGTACTTCGGTAACTGCCATCAAAAACAATGAAAGATTTACCACAATAATCTTCAAATCCAAAAGTCCACAAATGCTTATGGCTGCTGAACGGTCAAAAGTCAGCTATTTTTATTTAACCAGCCACAGCAAGATGCAAGATACCCGACAGCGCAGATGAGCAATGTAATGACGCGCTAAAGTCAAGGCTATTCCAAGCAAATTTCACATCGATACAGCTCAAGAAAACACATTCTGCTTTGACAATATTTCTCTACTAGGTCCAAAAAGACAAAAAACTGATATTGAATCGCAACATAATGATCTTTTTTAGCACGAGTTGGTAAAACAAAATTTATGGAGTGAAATCATCGAGGAAAACATCATTTAATTTCCTGACAGGGCTAATTAATAGCATTGGTAGTCATATTAGAGCCAAGTCTATAGCGGCAAATTTTATCGGCTTTGACACCAATGACCAGTATGACAGTACTGCTCTCTAGTTAGTATGACAATTTCCTCCCATCTATAAGAACAGAACTGTAGGGTCCCAAGACCTCCCATTTTATTGGAACGATATTCGGTGGATCTAAATACATTTATTCTAGTGAGAGAAACGGAATCAAGCCTGAGATTTGCCCAAGGGCACAAGAACCAGGCGAATACCCAAGTTGCAAGAATTATGGAAAATCAAAGGCTAAAACACAAATATGATGCCAAACTCTACGTTATTTTTAGTTTTAATGTTTCTATCGTTAAATTTCCATTTGATCGGCTTCTCATGATTCTCCAATTTAATGGGTACCCAATTAGACATAAGGCACATCATGCAAGGGACGGACAACAGGTCACATCAGTGTCCGCTGGAAACAGGATGTTTGTATTGGCTTCTCGTCACTCACTTAGGTCACATACCAAATAACTCAAATGTACAATATTTTTGCTACACATATCATCCTATAGGTGCTATCGTCGGGTTCCCATTTTAAGCATCGCTACATCTATCTTTGGCACGAAAACAGCAAATCGCAGTTAATAGAGGCTCAGCTACAACTTTTGAGGCCGTAAGTGTGCCATTCAGCGAGCAGACCTGTTGAAGGCCTGCTTTGGTGCTTTCAGGTGGGTTGTTCAGCGCGAGTGAAAGGCAGTAGTTCACGACAAGTCTTTTAGTCAGTTACTGCACTAGTTGAATTTATGCTTCCTTAGAGTAACTTCCGTCATATTTTACTGAACTTCTAGTGCGAAAGTAATTGAGAATTGTGAACTACTTCGTATTAATCAGGGATTTTGCATCGCGTGCTACATGTCATTTTGAAACTATTCATTTGTTACTTGTGTGTTATAGACATCGTTTAATTGTTAGACTGTTGAAAGAATCTTGAAAATGGGCTTATTTAGTTGATTTTCTTTTAGCCGCACAATGGAAGAGTTTTGCGGTGACTGCTCATCGAGTATCACGGCAGGGTTATCAGTGTTAAACTTGGGTGGTAATTGTGGGCCTTTTTTATGTGTTTTGTAGAAAACAAGCAGGAACCGCTCTTTGTTGACGAAGAACGCGGAACTGTGTTTCGTCAGTATGAGAACGAAAGCGATCTTGAGAAAATTGTGCTATTGATTGCTAAGGATCTATCAGAACCCTATTCCCTCTACACATATAGGTATTTTATATACAATTGGCCGGAGCTGTGTCTGTTGGTACGCCCTTCTTTTCGAAAGACCACACAACTATAGGCGACAACAGAAGATGGATGTGTAGTGGGCACCATCGTATGCAAGTTGGATTATCATAGGGAGGTGAAACGTGGTTACATCGCGATGCTTGCGGTGGAGAAGGAGCACCGGAGGAAGAGAATTGGTTCCACATTGGTTCAGCTAGCTGTTGAGCTTATGATTCAGGATGGAGCCCAGGAGGTGAGTTGGTGCCACCATTAGTGTGAGGAAGTATACATCAAGTGGGGACATTAGTTTAGACAACTGGTAGAAGACGGGGCTTGTGTGAGCATTAGAAACCACGGTGATGTGCTGAGTGTACTTAGCCCAACTAATTGGGAACCAAGATGACTATCTGGACTATCTGCGTAAAAGTGGCTTAAAAGTTTTTGCTTTGGGTGTGAAGGTTGTTCTGGAAGCAGAGGTAGATAACAGGCCAGCTTTGGCCTTGTACGAACAGCTGGGGTTCTCGCGGGATCGGTATCTCTTCCGATACTACCTGACTGGAACGGATGCTTTTCGCCTAAAGCTTTGGCTTGACATGCAGCAGTAGTAAGCTTTTCTCCCTCGAAATTCGCCCAAACTTTCCCGCTTTCTTCTCTCTTTGTAAGACCTATTCGTCTATGTTGTATTTGGAAGTCACTTGAGTTGTTCTTTGGCTTGTGTATTGTCGATGGAGGAGCCGTGGCTTTCAGAGCTTTGTGTTCAAATTCTGCTTTCACTTGAGGAATACTTTTTCCACTTGTGTTGCTCAGTACTGGCTCAAGAAGAAATTTCAGGAGCTTGCATACAAAACCCAAGACTAGGTTTGTAGCTGATTCATTATTGAATTAGTGGCTTTGCATTTTATAATAATTTTGCCTCTGATTCTGCGCAGTGAGCTGTTTTTGATGGGGAGTTGCAACTATTTGTTTGTTAGTAAGGCTCATGCGCGGGAACTCCAGGTACCAGTTCCCTAGCCCGACATGCACGCACTCCTTAGCCGAACCTTGCTCGTCGCAGCGTTTTCACAGCTTCCACCTGGTGCAGCTGAATCGAATGACGAACTTCACAAGGAGCGAGGACGCGACCTCTCCACTGACGACTAAAATCAGCGGACAGCCTACCACTAGTATCCGAAGGAGCAAAGGGTGGCCACCGCGGGACCCCCACTCGAGAATCATGATGCCAAGCGCCACCTACTAGGGCCAACCACCTGCATAGACCTTAAACCACCTAGAGATCAGACGAGTTTTCGCAAGCTGTAACGCCCCAACCTACAGCTCCACAACTGGCCCACGCTACGCTGACGCTTGAAACCTGTCGTCAAAGCGCAACTACGAGACTAACCCATCCAACTCTTCCCAATAAAGTCGTTGCAGAAAATCGGAAAAACAACCAGTTCACTGTCAACAATTCGTTTACAGTGCACCACTTAGTGTCCGAGAAGGAATTAGAGATCCCGAATTAGTAATCACGAACTGACTGCATAAAATTCACATCACTGCGGTTTCCTCGGACGTTCACATATTACCTTACGACGACACATCGGTCCAGAACATGTGCGAAAGGCCTAAAATAAGACGACCGTATTACTCGTGAAAAAATCAGAAAGTACTTTTCTATCAACTTATCAGAAGTAGCAAATAGACATCACATCCAAAGATCAACTGACTCACCAATCCTTTCTCCCGACGGCACTACTAATAAGGGGCAATGCAAGAATTAAAAAATGTTCAGTTGCGGTAGACATCACTTGACGAGTTGATTCGTGCGGGCAGTGGGTGAGACGATGCCGACGCAAGATTTACAGAAATCTCCTATAAAAGTCCCGAATGGATATGAGTGTAGCCAACCTGTGCCTCGTGAACGTTCCGATAGTATGTCAGGAGAAGTAGCGAACGCACATAACAGGGATGATAAACCCATTCTCAGGATTCATGCTCGTGCTTGTCGCGCAAGTTCACAACAGCGATGCGGAACTTGGACTACACAGATGATACGCTGCCGGTGAGAGTCAAACCAGACACGATCACATGGCGGCATGTGGGAAGTCTGCCAATTTGCCACGTCCGGCAACCGGTTAAACAATGACACGACGTTCATATATTTCAATGCTTTGTCTGTAAAGTTAATGAGAAATAACATAATTATACTGATTTCGTACGAATTATTTTGGCTGCAAACAGCTATGTGGTAGTCTGCAATACTTGTAATGGTGGGGAATGGATGTTTAGGATAAAGAGGTTTTGATCCCAAGACCTTGAAGTGTTGAACGGTTTCCGCAGAAAGTGATAGGTGCTTGTGGCCAATTGCCACCATTCTACGATGGATTACATGCACTATCCTCCCAGGTCGTCTTTAAATGATGTAGACTGTGTGCAGCGTCAAATTCATCGCTCAGTTACACCCTGACGTCTATTTCGGAGATAGATTGTGTACACGCATTTAGTTCGACTTCGTAGAGAACAGAATATCGAAGCATCGATGTAGGGAGCTGACAGTAAACGGAGCGGAGTTCAAAAAGAGTCAGTACTCGATACTTCTGCTTTTTATTCCAGTGATTAATTAATAAGTTCGATTAAGATAACAAACTTAACCCATTAACACATTTGAAATGCTTTGTTTGTGCAACTACGTGACGTTTGACGGTCACCTTAGGATTTGTGTGACCCTTGTACACGTGGGCTGGCCTTCGTGCCATGCCCAGGCACACTTG